TTATCTTATCAGCAAATGGTTATACAGTATAAATTATTAAAATTTCACCTGTAAATAGCAGACAAGTGACAAATTTCATCATCCCACATAATAGAGATGGTAGAGATGTGATTAGGCCAGGCAAAAATAACATTTTTCTTCACATCTTTGTCCAACCTATGTGTGATAGACAGTGACCCTTAAATAATAAGTATAGAAACAGGATTTTTTTTCTTGGGCATATTGCTTTGTCTCAAAGAGAATTACTATTTTTTTTTCACATTTCTAATTCATTCTTTAATTTTTTAAAGATCTGCCCGCTCATTTTTTTCTTATGTAGAGAACTAGTATATGCCCATAGCATTAGTCAGTGTTCTCCAGAGAAACAGAATATGTGTGTGTGTGTGTGTGTGTGTGTGTGTGTGTATACAGTATACACACATACAAATACAGTAAGAGACTCAGATTTATTTTGAGGAATTGACTCACATGATTGTTGGGGGAGGGGGCTGGCAATTCTGAAACTTGTAGGCTGGGCTGGCAGGAGTTGATGTTGCAGTCTTCAGACAGGATTCTTTCTTCTGTGGGAAACCTAAGTCTTTGCTTTTAAGGTCTTCATCTGATTGGATGAGGTCCAACGGAGGGTAATCTGCTTTACTTAAAGTCTACTGATTGTAGATGTTAACACGTCTAAAAGATGCCTTTCCAGCAACATCTAGACTGGTGCTTGACCAAACAACTGGGCACCATAGCCTAGCTATGTTGTCATATAAAATTAACCATCACACTCATTGAGGAAATTTTAGAAAATAAATAAACTGAAAATGGGTATTTAAAAAGCACTTGTAATCAAGCACCTGCAAGTGATCTCTGCTAACGTTTCAATGTTTATCCCTATAGTCTTCCTCTTATATTTATATATCTTTTCTTCTTCCAAAGTTGAGAATACAGTGTTTATTTTATCTCATAACTCATTATTCTCTTAAGAGTATAAACATCTTCTCACTTTATTAAAATGATTTCTTCTGCAACTCATATTTTAATAACTGTAGTATAACCAATTGAAGGAATTGTTGGACTCTTAGGTTTTCAATTTTAGAAGGATATTATGTCTTTTCACGCTTATCCTTTGAATACATTACTACACATGCATTTGCTAGTTAAAAATACACACATTAAAAACTTTTACATGCATTGCTAAATTGCCTTCCAGAAATATTGTGCCATTTACATTCCCAATGGCAATATTTCAGAGGCTTGTTTTCCTTCCTCTTTTCAGTATTAAGTGTTAGAATAAAAAAATATTCCTATATGAAGATTTAAAAAATCTTTTATTATTGTATTCTGAGTTTCCTTGATTTTTAGTGATGTTGAATGAAATCCTTAACTTTAGTGATGTTTGTATTTGTTTTTGAATTGTCCATTCAATTTCCACTAAGATGCTTGTCATATTCTTACTATAAAAACTGTATACAACATATGTAATCACTTTGGTTATCATATATTTTGCAAATGTTTCCTCTAATTTATTATTTGCCTTTTGATCCTGTGTATAATTTTTTTGATATACTGAAGTTTTTGTTTTTATTTTTGAGTAACCAAATCTATAAATATTTTCTGTTATGTCAGGCTTTTGGTTTCATATATTATAGTTTTCCTACCCTGGGATTATATGTCTTCTGTACCATTATGGTTTTTTTTTTTTAAGCTTTGAAATTAAATTTGATGTATGGTGTGAGGCAGGGATTATCTTTCAGTTCACAGTTTTGTTTAAAATGCAACTTTTCTATCCTTCTAAACACGGGGAAATGTCATGCAAAGGACTCGAAAGGTTGGAAAGGAAGAACTTACACATTTTACGTCTGGTAGGCCCAGTATACATCACAGTGGATCCTCAACATTATTTGGTTTTCCATCAAAAAGCAGAGTTAAATCTAACAGCAGTTGCCTGAGGCTTTCATGTTTGTGAATGTGTATGTATAGGTGTATACAGGGAGCATGCTTGTGGGATGGCAATTATGGTTCTGGGAACCATTTCCACTGCAGCTCTATGATCTTATTAGCAATGTTTTCATAGATTTGGACATTTTTCTTCATAGACAATGATTATATCTTTAGTCAGTGATCACACTACAGTATTTTAACTGCAGGGGTATTTATGTGCTAGGGCAGAATATGTCCATGGAGAAGAAGCTGCCAATGACTAGATCTTGTAATCAGTGCATAATCTGAGGCAGAAAGTTTATGACCACTCCCTAGCACGGTGCTCTTCTGTGGCCTTAATGTAATTGTCACTGTGTTTTTGTGCCTTCACAGGAAATGTCTTCCATTTATTCTTTACAAAATTGTAAGTTATTGGGTAACCTGGCTACAAGAACCTGTAGTGACTGACGTAAATCTTACCCTGGATATTCTCCTGTTTTCCCATTTTAAAAATGCTCATTACTCCCATCTTCAATAATTCATCACTAGATGTGGGACAGGAAATAGTGATGTGAAATTCAAGTAAGCCATATTAAGAATCATGATTTTCAGAAGCAAGCTTAGGGTTTTATCAATATGTTTCATATATTCACCAATTTATTTTAGATGAGTAGTCTCTCTATTTGAGATTACTTTTCTAGGATTATCTTACAGTTTAATTTAATGTGGTAGAATTCCTTATTAGTACTTATAGGTTTTTATCATGTATTGCCCTGTTTTAGACTTAAAATTTCTATGAAATTGGGCTTGGAATTTTACATGTTATCAAGCTCCCTAGGTTTATATAGCCAATGAAAGTTTCAGAAGCACTAGACTACTGTTTCTGGGTTTAGAATTAATATATTTGGGGAAATTTTTCATGAAACTTTGTGAAAAGGTAGGTTAAAGTGCCTGGCATTGTGGCAGCCACAGGGTAGGCACTGCATAAATGTGCATTACTTATTTAATTTAGGTATTAAAGCAATTAGTAAACTGATCTGTGTTTGGTCTGTTCTGCATTTATGTCCACTTCTAAGGAAGCTTCCATTTAAATACATATATTTTACAGTGTATGCTTTGTATTACTAATTTTTATGAACTTAACATTTAGAGGACAATGTTTATTGACTTTTTGCTGTGAACAGCTCATCATTCTGTTAAAGATTCAATATTCTGAATATTCCAGGAACATAAATATCCACAAGTACTTCTTGTATTAGCTAACAGAATTGCCATATATTTGCACAGCTGTTAAATGGTTGTCTCAAAATTTTTAAAAAATAGTTCAGGTGTATAGAATTATTCAAATTATGTTAATATGCAGAGGTTTATACGAAAATAAGAAGATGCCACCTTGTGGTACAAAAAATAGATTCTTTGGTATGTGTGTAATATGTGGTTGTCAAATCTTTCAAATAATATGTGGTCAACAAACCTATTTGAACAAATAGGAAAGGCAGCAAAAGTGCTCATGCTCATAAGCAAGTGTTTGAATTCAGTAACTATCTCACAAATAGAAAGATCACATGGGGGAGAATTACATGGAAATGTGTTTTTTGAAAGCAGGGATCTATTCAGCGTTATACAATAGTCACATGGAAATTAAAATGGAGCATTTCAGTAATGTTTATTTAAGATAATAAACTCAGAGGATCTACTTCAAAATTAAGGTTGTGTTGCATTTTTAAGAATGATTGCTATATTTTGTTCTTTTAGGTAAAAAGTAAAATTTTATTATGATTTAATTTTAATGAGCTTAAAGATAATTTTTAACTCTGAATTACACTAATATATATGGTGTTTTGTTAAAAAGACAAAGGTTATTTGAAATTAATTATGAACTATGGGATTTACCTAGGTGATGATTCCTTACATGAAATTATCTTAGAATTTCTGAGGATGAATCAGTCTTGGAAATTATATAGCTCAATGTTCTCTGTTTTATAGGTGTGTAAACGGAGACACAGAGATGTTGTATGACTTGTTCAGGATCCCTCACCCTTTAGGAGTTGACTTTCTTTATTCTGTGCTCCTTCTCCCTCCCCATTCTGCATTTGAATTGGTCTCTTGTATTGAGAAGCTTTGTTTCTCAGAAAAAGAATAGAAGAGAATACATTTCTCCCCTCTGAACCTTTCATTAAATGTTTATTTTGTTGCATTTCTCCATAAGCATTTTTATATTGCCATTTTCTCCTCTTATTAGAATACTTAATATAGTTCCAAATAGTGCATAATTGAAAACAGTTTATCATATCCATTTTTATTTATTAGTATAATAGTATCCCTGCAATCTGGTGGCAGGAAAGTACTACACTATTTTATTGTAATTTATCCCATTTTAAATGTTCATTTGGGTCTATGAAATTGCATACTTTTTAGAAATACACTTAGAGGATATGTTGGGAAAAACCTCAAAAGTCAGAACTGGTTTAGAAATTTTTGCAAAGATAATATTGTGGGATATTCCAAATCCCAAAGTTAAATAGATCAATCAACCAATCATTTCAAATATTTTGAAAGTGTGTGTACATTAGATCTTGTCCATAGACACTTGTCAATGACAAATGACAAAGGAAAGTACCAGCATTTATTGTTATTGAAATTTTAGAGGAGCAAAGGAGCACTGGGTTAGTGGGCCTATCAGGAAAACATCACAGAATATATTTAAGTAGGTCTTGAGGAATAGGAAGTATTCAGATAATTAGGTAGCAGTGTGTGGTGGGGGCACTCTAGGCAGAAGTGGTGTGGCCCAAGGTTATTTCTCTCTGGCACATAGTAATTAGAAATTTGCTTAGAGATTGGGGGGGGAGGGCTTATCTAATGGTAAGACTGTTAAATGAGAACTAACAATGTTTAGTTCTTTTCCATATATAATGGAAAGCCATGGGTGCTTTTTGATTAAGAAAGTGATATAAATGAAGTGGCATTATGGATGAAGATTATACAGAAATAATGTGTTTTTGTGAAAATAATATAAAATGAAATATAATGTGTGTTGATGACCCTTAGTTGAACAGATAATCTTTTTTTTTTTAAGATTTTATTTATTTATTTCCCAGAGAAAGAGAGAAAGAGAGAGAGAGCACACAAGCAGGGGGAGTGGCAGGCAGAAGAAAGCAGGCTCCTCACTGAGCAAGGAGCCAGATGCAGGACTCAATCCCAGGATCCTGGGATCATGACCTGAGGCCGAAGGCAGATGCTTAACCGACTGAGCCACCCAGGTGTCCTGCAGATAATCTTTCTATTTCAGGTGTGCTTTGATTTGCAAGTTTCACTAAGTATTTTTATTATTTATTTTATTATTCTTATTTGGGTCATTTCCCTTTCTAATTGTCTTGACCAGAAATAGGCAATGAAAAAATTCAAACTCTGCTTTTCAACAGCACCAATCTGTAGGAATGCTGTCACCTCCCATGTGCAGATTTCTTTTAGAAATAAATAAATAAAGCCTAGGGGTAGTTGCACATTAATGTGGTGGTGGTAGAATGCCTCATCCTTAATATGCCTTACAGATGGTGTTTATAGGGGTTTAGTTAATTCAGTATGGCCCCGTATAAGCCTCAAGTAGCTAAAGAAGAACTTTCTTGAAAATGTCCCTGTGGTAGGCAGAATAATGGCCCCCTAAAGATATGTGTGTTCAGATCTCCAAAACCTGTGAATGTATTAGTTTATATGGCAAAAAAGAATTAAAGTAGATGACGGAATCAGGGTTGTCAGTTGATCTGAAAATAGGGAGATTATTCTGAATTATCTGCATGGGCTCAGTGTATTTACAAGTTGTCCTTAAAAGTGGAAGAGGGAAAGGAGATTGGAGTGATAAGTGTGAGAATGACTCCACTCGCCATTGCTGGCTTTGAAGACAGAAGGAAGCCAAGGAATGTGGGCAGCCTGTAGAAGCTGGAGAAGGCAAGAAAACAAACTCTCCCCTAGAAGTACTACAGAAAGGAATAGAGCCCTCCAAGCACCTTGATTTAGACCCAGGGAGACTCGTATTAGACCTGCCACTTACACAATTGTAACAACATACCTTTTTGTTGTTTTAAGCTACTAAGTTTATGGTAATTTGCTGTAACAGCAGTAGAAAACTAATACAATCACAACCATAAAACAAAGAAATAGTTATAATGGTGGTAAAGATAATGATTATTCTCCTCCACTCCCTCTTCCTCCTCTTCCTCCACATCTGTAGGTACCCTTTGTGGAGGGCTTACTATCCATATGTTAAGTGCTTTGCACATATTCTCATCCAGTTTTTAACAGCACCTTGCTGATAGGTATTATCTATTTGTGATGATAAACAAAGGCACTGAGGGATTTGGAGAGAAAGTGGCCAGGCCCTTGCAGTTTGTATGTGGCAGAGACCAGATTTAAACTGTTATCTGAGGTCAAAGCCTCATTCTCTTCAGTGCAGAAGTGGCAGGGGAAGCATTAGAAACTTGGAGCTGAATATGTTGGCTCTAAAGCCTGACCACCTGATTTGAATTTTGGCTGCTTATCTTATTGGTTAGATTAGTGCCTGGGACCTAGTAAATCCTCAATATGTCTTGGCTATTATTATGATTAATTGTGATTATTATTATTATTCAAAGATGGCACAAAAAGAGTAGTCATTGTCATAGGAAGGTGATTGTTAAAGTGATCACTACCACATCCATTTTATTGAGCTTAACTATAAACTATAATCTTTTCAGACTTCATTTCATCACTGAAGTTTGGCTTTTGGAATTTGTTTTAATGCCTCTCCACCTCATTAAGCAGTGAGTTTGAACCCCATTAAGTAATTCAGCTTGATCCTTATTTCTAACTGCTGTACATACCCTAACTGCTAAGCCATGCCCCTTGCTGGACAATATCTTGAAATATTTACTCTAATTCCCACTCTTTTGACTGGCCCTAACTTTGTGCAGAGAATTGCTCCCTTTTTGAAAATTACTTGGGTGGAGGAAAATAGGTATCTGACTGAAGAGAATACAGTCCCTTGGGTGTAAGTGATAATCCATCCCTCTGTTCTACCACTGTCAGTAGATGGCATTGTGATTTCACTGGACACCTGTGCATCTTGCAGCCATCATGTCATTATCTCACAGAGGAGCTCCATGCCATACTTAACCAACCCACAGTCAGATTAGGGTAGCAAGCCCAGAAATTTGTACTAGGGCAATATGAAGTCACTGGCTCTCCACAGCAAATATTTGGTAATTTAAAATGACAGGATTTTGGGTTGTCCCAAGATTCTGATTCCATTGGCTAGTATAAGGCTGTAATTCACCTCGGCCCTAGACCAGGACTGGAGTAGATGTATCCTGGGCAGCCAGTTCTAGGATGTATTGTATCTGACATTAAGTGAGGTCCCAAACTCCTGGGACAAGCAGATGTCCGTTTCTTCCCAGTAGGCTTCCTGACCTTCCATTTGGCTCTTCAACTCCTTTGATTTCTACAGTACTCTTTTCTCCTTGTTCTTATTTCATCTTTCGTTCTTGCTTTCCTTCATGGAAATAGTTCTAACATTAAGAGAGAGTTTTCTCCAGTTTTAAAACTTCCACCTTTTACTCTTTTTGTTTTACCCATCCTTCCTAGATGCTTACTGTCACCTATATGTTGATAACTCCTCATACTATCTCACTAGCTCTAAAATTCTTCCCTGAGCTTTAAAATTCTAAATCCAATGGCTTATCAACTGGATTTTTAGATGAATCTTGATATCAACAAGTGTGAATTTGAATTTGTCATCTTCCCTCTTTGCCCCTGTATCATGTCTTTTAGTTGTAGCATCTTATCATTATTATCAAATAATAATAAACTGTTTTCTCTGTTTATCTATTTTAATGTGTTTCTTGACTCTTTTCCCTCTCTTTCTTTATTATCACTGCTAATTCAGGCCCTCATATTTGTCATCTGAATTTTAATTTTGTGTTTGATAATTTTTATGTATAGGTATAAACTTTATCATTAAATATATCCCTCAATTTTTTAAATTTTTTAATTCTTTCCATTGCTTTAATCTTAGAGAATACTATGTACCACGGAATGTTAAATATTCATATAGGTTTCCTCTAGATTACTATGGTTTCTTCTTTCCTTAGTAATTAATTATTAACACCGTTATAGTTTCCTTTTTTTAATGTTAAAATGTCTTTCCCATTATTATCATTACTTATTTAAGTTTTGGGTGCATCTTCGTTCTTGATGGAATTGTTGACTGTTTAATAACGTTTACAAACATCGGTTCTTATAATTACTTATTAATTTTAGGGTATTTTTGGCTTTTTAAACAGTTTTACTCATTTGTTTTATCTTTAATATTTTCTTCTTTCTGATTTTCTTAGGGTTTTGTTGATGGTGGTGGTAGCTTTAGGATTATTAATTTGCTTCCAGTTTTCAGCTTTCTAAGCAATCCATAAGTTATGATATGTAGTACTTTTAAGGATATTTATCTGATGTGGAATTTCACACATATACAATGTAAAGAGAATAGTTCCACCTACCTCTGTATACATATTGCCAAACTTCAACAATTATCAACATTTTGCCACACTTGTTTCACCTGTGTCCCCAACTTTTTTCTCTTCCAGTATTTTAAATCAAATCCTAGACATCATGAAATGCAGTAATAGTAACATTTTAGGATATATGTGTGTGTAGATATTTATGTGTATTTGTATGTATATGTGCGTGCAAACATGTATGTATATATACACACTCCCACACATTTTAAAGTAATTGGGGAATCTTTTGGGCTTGATTAAAATATTTGTAGCTGAAAGACATGTAGTCAGATTATTTGATCTCAATTATTTCTGCTTCTATTGATAATTTATTGAGCTGCCCCTTCCCTACAAGTTAGTATCATCAATTTTTAAATATATCCTACATGGATTCTTCAAAAGCAAATAAACTCTATTTTTTTTAGAGTGGGTGGCTCAATACATATCTTATTAGCTATACTAGTCCAATTCTTCATGTTTTACCTTTATTTTAATTATAATAGTCCAGTTCTCCATGATCTCAAATTCATGATTTGTCCAAGATGTATTAAAGTCAATCACGACAACTTTGTTTCTACTTTTCATTTAATATTTGCCTGCCAGTTTTAGCTTAATATATTTGAATGTTATATTATTTGACACATGAAGATTTTTGGCTGCTATATTTTCATTATCATAACTTCTATCAATATAAAACATCTTTCTTTTATCTCATTTTATGCTTTCTGCCTTAAAATCTACATCATCCAAAGTTAACATTGCCACCTCTATGCCATTTAATTTATATTTGCTTGAGAAATCTCTACTCACTCTTATTTTTAACATTTATATGTACTTCCACATTAGAGATATCATAGTAATAGCACATAGAGTATATCTTTTGACTCAGTCTGTTAGTTTTCCAGCTACTTCCAATTTTTCCAAAACTGACAAATGGGGTCTTATTTTTCTTTTTATATTTTCTTTCATTTCCTTCAATTTTTGAGATTCTATAATGTTTTTTACTTTTTTTGTGTTTGTTATTGTTTTAATGGAGTTATGCTTTCATCTTCTCTAGTGATTAGGAAGGTAGACAGACATCTTGATACTTATTCTACTCATTTTCCAAAATATCCAACTTCTGTTTTTCCGAATATTAAAGTCAAGAAAGAAGTAATATCTTTTGTTTATCCACAAGGAATCCTTTTATATTCCCTTCCCCATTCCGTTTCCCACTTGTTCATCTCAAAGGGGTACTGGACTTAGACTGATATTATTAAATTATTGTTACTTCAGATTTATTCTTTTATAACAATTATTTTTGACATTTGCATTCAGATTTGAAAATATATTTGCAACAGCTATTTAGGGCTAACACTTCTGTTTAATTATTTCAGGGTTCATCACTAGGATTTATGTCCTAGCTTTCCTATTCATGAGATTTTTCATTTCAATTCAAGTCTTAGGAGTCTTTTCATCCCAATCTATTTTCTATTTAGCTCAGATTGTTTTTTTCTTATGGTATATTGAGGATGGCAAACAATTTTCTAATTTTTTTTCTGGTTTCTATAAGAGCAAGAAATATATAAAACTTCTGAATATATATGTTTTTTGCTTGA